ACAAGCCAGGGAACGCTGGAGGGTGTGGGAGTCTGAACCATGGGGAGATGCCTCCCGGCGCCCATGGAAGGCCTGTTACCAAGGGACCAGGAGAGGTGGAGAAGAGGGATCCCTGGTGCACTGTGGGTGCGCTGGGGCGGCCAGAAAGACCTGCACCACTGTGGGTGGGGATGTAAACTGAGGTGCCTTGAAAAATTGAAACTAGAGCTAACATATGATCCAGCTATTCCACCACGGGTATCGGTCCCAGAGGCTTGGAAAACACACGCCCAAGGCACACGCACACCGTGTTCACGGCGCTGTTCACATGTGCCACGACCTGCATGTCAGTGCCGCTGACAGGGCCTGGGTAAAGACGAGACAAGGCGGACAGACACGGTGGAATATTACTCGGCCAGGAAAAAGATGACGTTTGAATTTTGCCATTTGCACAACATGGTTGGCCCGTGAGACATTATCCTAAAAAACACAGCATTCCTCTAAGAGCCAGACCACAGTTGATTAGCTTTATTGACCCGAGGTGTCTGGTCTCTGCTGAAATGCTCCCGCAGTAATGCTGAATTTGCGACAGAATTATAAACCCATCAGCTACAGGCCCACTCTGCCTACCCCCTCCAAGTCACCGACGCTTCGGGGCAGGCATTTACAACCAGAGAATTGTTCACGCGTGAGTTTTCTCAATCTGGAAGTTAGGGATCTAAAACTGTGTCCCTTCAGGTTATTCCATTAAAAGTCAATCACTTTCTTTGCAAACTCCTTCAGCCCAACACTGGGTACGGGGGAGGCGGGAGGCCCCCTCTGGGACAGCGTGCAGGCAGAGGACGATGTCAGGGTGTCAGCCGGGGTTGCACAAGCCCCTCTAAAGCTTCGAGGCCACCGGCGGGTCCCTGGCTTCAGCCTCCAGCCACTCGATGAGGATCCGATTCAACTCGGCGGGCCTGGGGGAAACCGAGGCAGTTGGCCCCGGGCCAGACCCAGCTGCCTCAAGGCGGCAAAGTCCTTACTGAGGTGCACTGACGCCCCCCCGGGAGCCCTCATCTGCTTACTTGTCCATCTGTGTCCAGTGTCCGCAGTCCTCAATGTGTCCCCTTTTCAGGTGGGGGATCTGGAAGAGACCCTCACGCCAGTTAAGTGCAGGAGACCAGTGAGTCTGGCTTGGGTCTGTGCCCAAGCAGACCCAATGCGGGGGCACCTTCCTCGCTGCCGCCCTCAGACCAGCAGGGCCCGGTGTCGCCAGCCCGGAGAAGTTCTGGTCCACTGGCTGCACCAGGCAGCGGTGACCACGTCCCCTCCCCAGCTGCCCCTCGTCCCTGGGACCTGGAGGGGCCGTGTCTGTGCCACGGCTCGGGACATGGGGTCTCTGGGGACGTGGCCTGGGCGGATGATGCTGGAAAACACAGCTTCCCCCGGAGGCGGGGTGGCCCCTCCGAGCATAACGCACCCCCCGAGGCCAGCGGTCACCCCAGGCCAGTTAAGGAGACGGAATTCCTACAGCAACCACCAGGGCCGTGGCCAGAGGCCCCCTCTCCTCAGGCGGCCCCAGAGCCCACACGGAGGGGCCCTGGCAGTGCCCGCTAAACACTCTGCTGGTCCCACAGACACAGCCTGGCCGGGCTCAGAGACCACGCGGGGCCCCGCCGGGCCGCCCCGCCCACCCCACGCTTTCAGCAGAGGGCGCCTCTCACCGCACCCCCACGGGTCCCTCTCCCGCTACGTCCTGGCGCCCACGCGAGCAGGCTCAGCCTGGCCGCAGACGCCCCCAGACTTCCCGAGCTCACGAGCATCCGCAGCGCTGGGCACCAGACGCGCCTCGCTCCCGGCCAGGCCCGCCCCACGCCGCTCCCGGCCTGTGGGCGAAGGGCTGGGGGCCAGCTCCGGCAGAGTGCGCCCCGACCTCCAGGCTCCTCCCTGGGGACACCCGAGCCCTCCCGGGGCTCCGCTCCGCAGCCGCCCTCACCCAGTCCTCCATGTGCTTGGACATCTCAGGCACCAGCACCGGGTCCTTCTCTGCGGTGACCATCAGGGCCGGGACCAGGATCTGGGGAGAGGGCAGGGGTGTGAGCCCGGCACCACCAGGGCTCCCCCACTGTGGGGAGTGCTCCTGGTCCTGGGGGTTCCCTCCCCGCGCCCCCCTCAGCCCCCTGGGCCGTGTCCCTCCATGGGGCAGGGACAGGTCTGCTGCGAGCTGGTAGGAGACAGACCCGGGGCCTGCAGAGCCCCTGGAAGCCCCAGTTCTATGGTAAGAACCCCCCGGGGCGTCTCTAGCAAAGGACTGGTTCTAGCAAAGAGGTGGGGGGGTGCTTCTGGGTGGGGGGTGGCCAGGAAGGCCGAGACAAAACCCGAAGCTAGGACGGCTGGCCCCAGCCCAACCCTCAGGAAGAGGA